TGATCTCTGAATCCTCCCAGGGTGGATGAGCAGGTGTTAACGTCATAACCCACTTTAACATTCCAATCTCTCTAAGTTTTGGATCCCTTCCTCTATGGTATACCAAGGCAGTTCTGGCAACTCAACTTCACTTACTGTAGGCCACTTTTAGGTTTATGTTTCAGCAAATCAACCAGACTGTTAAAGCTCTTTCTAGCCCTCTGAACTACAACACTGAATCCAGAATCTCTACTTAGTGGGCCCACATCAAAACATTCTGCCTGATCCAACCTTATGTTCCTTCCAATATTATCCCACACCCTTGAGATCCATGCCAACAAATATTCCTCCAGGTTTCTGTCTATATACAGTTGTTCCTAGGTATCCATGGGGAGTTGGTTCCAGGACCCCCATGGATACCAAAACCCAGAGATGCTCAAGTCCCTTATATAAAGTGGCATATCTGCATATAATCTATGCACCTCTGTAAACTTTAAATCATCTCTAGATTACTTATAATACCTAATACAATGTAAATTATATGTAAATAGTTGTTATAATAGTTTAATTTGTATTATTTTTATTGTATTGTTAACTTCATTGGGTTCCCCTCCCCCAAATATCTTCAATTTGAAGTTGGTTGAATCCACAAATACAGAAGGCAACTGTAGGGACAAAACTACACATCTTTTAGAGTGCAGTGTACCTCCTCATGGGTTACCTCTCCCTCTGGGGCCTGCTGCAACTTGAGTCTACTCGCTAGTCTAGGAGAAAGAGCAATGGTGGGGCAGGTTCTGAGGAAGAGCAGTACCTTCCTTGCAAGGTCTACTCGCCAGTCTAGGAGAAAGAGCAATGGTGGGGCAGGTTCTGAGGAAGAGCAGTACCTTCCTTGCAAGGCAGGAGGCCAATTTCAGATTTTTAGGGCAAAGGCAGATTAATTTCCTTATGGCAGGGGTTGGAAAGGATGCATCGACTGGCAAAGGCGGCTCAGCAGCATTTATGGGTTCGAGGTCTCCCGCTTAATCGGAATCTGACCATATGTCCCAATCCAATTTTCAGGATTCCATTCCTTACCCATTAATGCCCTCACCAACAAATTTGGAATCCATTTGCACCGTCTTTAAGGACACTCACAGAAATTTTCAAGTTCTTTATATACAACCTGAGCTGGGAATTTAAAACCCTGAGCTCACCTCATGCTTTGTAATGTTTTAACTTGGTTGAGCTGGACTACATTCCCCCCAGTTTCCTTCCCCGTATGTTCCTGCCTTGCGTGGGCCTCAAGAGAATTGCGTGCAGCAGCTGGAGGGTACAGGGGAAGGAGCAACCGTCCTGTAGTCCACACACTGTTGTTCTGCTCTTCTTCTGGCTCATCTCGCTCATGTGAGCCAGTGACTGGCCTGCAACTGCTGCTCCACCTGCTGCACCTTCCTCAGAATGCCCCCTGAACTCCTCTGCCTCCCGGGCTAAATGTGTGTGTTTATCCTCATGCCAAGGGCCCAGGCCACACACACACCCAGGGTCAGAGGCAACAGGATGTGGCACAGCTTCCAGCTTGTTCTTGTTCTTCCCCACTTTACATCTGTCTTTCTTTTCCAAATGTCTGTCCTCTGGACTTCAAACTGCAGCACCAGGCACGAAGACACAGCTCCACAGAGACTGCTTAGCCAGCTCCAACACTGCGTGAACTCAAATGCCTGTAACAAATCCCTTCAGTAAGTAATACACGCATTCATAAAATTTTTTCTTCACCCACCTTAGTGGTTCTATTTCTCTGACTGCACCCTAACTATGTGATCCTGAAAAAATATTGCAATTAAAACTCAACAAATGTTTACTTAATAACCATTATATAATAAACATCTATGCAGCAAACCAGACATTTAACTGCACAGCCTCTATTTCCTCATGATTTAATTCTAGTTACTGTACAGGGGAGCTGGAGCACTCACAATACAGACAATGAGCTAAACACTAGAAAAGCAATTATGGACAAAAACAGGAACAGTCTCTACTTTCATAAGCTCAGCCTTTTTGGGAAAACTAAAATTAATTCAATTACATAAACTAATGTAACACTGTAATTTTAATAAGCACCAGGAAGACCTGACTTCAGGGAGGTCAAGAAAAAAATTCAAGGACTTTCAGAAAACTGACGGTGGTTGTAGTGGCTGATAGATACCAGTGCAGACTGATCTCTCCATTTGTTATGAAAACTCACAAACTCACACAAAAAGAAATTTTGTGAAAAAGTGATCCTTGAGCCAAACTCTAAAGGAAGACAAGGAACAACCGAAACAAGCAAAGAAAAGCATTCCAGGTGGAGGAAAAGAACAAGTGCCAAGATCCCTGGTGAAGGAGAAGACGGTGAACACGGCAGAACAGAGGAAGGCCCAGTACAGCTAAAGCAAAGAAAGCAAAGGGAATGCACTGCAGATAAGGCTGAGGCCCAAAGCAATTACGCATACCCTTGAGGCCACGTTCTGAAGTTTTCTCCTTAAAGCAATGGGAAGCCACTGACAGTTTCAAGTAAAAGGGTGACACGATCAGACCTGTCTTTCTTAAATGTAATGTTTTTTTTTTTTTGTCTTTTTTTTTCGTGTCCGGCAACAGATCGCAACCCTCAGTGTCGCGCCCGTACCAGACCGGGACTGGCAACGTCGTATAACTTCGTATAATGTATGCTATACGAAGTTATTACGGGACAAGAAGTAAAAGGGTGACACGATCAGACCTGTCTTTCTTAAATGTAATGTTTTTTTTTTTTTGTCTTTTTTTTTCGTGTCCGGCAACAGATCGCAACCCTCAGTGTCGCGCCCGTACCAGACCGGGACTGGCAACGAGATCGCAACCCTCGGTGTCGCGCCCGCACCTCGCTCAGCCAGTGAGCGGGAACCGGTCTGTATGTGGGATCCGAACCCTCGGAGGGAGCGCTGCAGCACTCCCAAGCGGCGCACTATAGCAGTGCGCCACCGGGCCGGCCCCAAATGTAATGTTTTGACACTAAATTATAAATGTGTTTACCTTTACCCAACAACCTCACTATCTTAATGCTTTACCTCCACAAATACAAAACAACATATGCACAAGGCTATTTATTGCAGCAATTTATAACAGCAACAGAACATCAACAACCCACATGTTCATCTTTAGGAGGTTCGTGGCAAGCACAAAAGAAGGATATAGAGTTTCTATGAAGTGATCTCCAGAGTATACGAAGAATAAGCAGAACAGCGTGCATAGAATATCTATGCGTGCATATCTTTGTGTAAGAAAGGGAAAAAAAGTATACATTCTTGTATTTGAAAAAATGAAACACCAAAAGAATAAAGCAGAAACTAATATAGCTGGGGCAGGAAAGGAACTAGTGGAGGGACTGAATGAAGTGACATTGTGAACACAAATTTTTAATACAGTTCTGATTTGTAAACTACATAAATGTTCACATAAATATTTTATGTGTTGAAAAAATATATTAAATATCCTTCTTAGTATAATGGTGAGAAAAAAGATGTATTAAATTTAAAAATTAATATCACCTTTAAAAGTTAAGGATTTCATGCAAATAAACCAATTATCAAACTGGTAACATAATCAGAGAAAATATTTTTGCATATAATTCAGAATGTCAACTGTACATCCTTATTGGACATTTTAAGTATAAAAAGAACTATAACCAAATATAAGCCTACAGTGGCTTTATAAGTAATGTCATTTTCAAACTACTACCTTTATACTGTAGGATAAAGAAATTATATTAATGTTGCTAAAAATGCATATTTTCAATGTTAGAGAAAAAAAGGATAAACTCAAAGTAAAAACTCTATGATGTGAAATTTGAGCTGGAAATACCAACACAAAATCAAAATTTATATACTTCCCAAGTCTGTCCAATGAAAGCCAGAGGCACCCTAGTAGCAAAAAGGACATACAGCACCCAGATTGTGGTATCTGAATTCCACTCCCCAATAAAAGGACCTGAAAGAAATGGCCCATAGGTATTTGGCAAGAAAAGCACAAAGTGAAACTCAGACATCTTGTGTCAAAGAAAGGAGAAATACTTCAAATATTAATGTGTCATGTCCAAGAAAAGAGAACTAGCTTGAAAGGACCTTGACATACCCAGGTTGTGACAAGCTGAGGAATCAGAATGGCTATTTGATTAAAACATACTGGATACATAAAAATCCATGAGTCTACAATGATCCTCAAAAGAAAGCACAGAATTCCCTCATTATATGCATGTTTATCTTCCTTATCAGACTGTAAGGTGTTAAGGATACATCTTCATGTTTTATTTAAGCCTTACGTAACTTATTCTAGAAATGACTTACGGCAATATTAAGGACATAAAATAGATACTCAGTCGAGATTTAATTTAAAATTAAATTGGATTGAATACTGAGTCACAACTAAGCAAACTGTTTACTTCAACACACACACACAGACACACACACACACACACACACACACACACACACACACACACACACACATCATGCTAATAACCACAGCAAAGTTCTAAAATGGAAAGGGGAAGGAAATCAACGTTTACTGGCACCAGCTGCTGTATTTCAGGAACTGTACTGGGAACTCTACAGATTACAATTTCATCTAATTCTCAAAATAGTCTTATATGATAGGTTTAACCCCAGTTTATAACTAAGGAACTTAAAGTTTAAAAAGTCCATGTGGCTATGATTTAGCCATGGGGCTTTGGACCCACACACACACACACACACACACACACAAAACATGCTAATAACCACAGCAAAGTTCTAAAATGGAAAGGGGAAGGAAATCAACGTTTACTGGCACCAGCTGCTGTATTTCAGGAACTGTACTGGGAACTCTACAGATTACAATTTCATCTAATTCTCAAAATAGTCTTATATGATAGGTTTAACCCCAGTTTATAACTAAGGAACTTAAAGTTTAAAAAGTCCATGTGGCTATAATTTAGCCATGGGGCTTTGGACCAGGAAGGAGTGGAGCTCCATTTCCACCCAGATTGTCCCTACCTGAAAGACTGGACTGACTCCACGTCTAACTCCACAGTCCCCATTCTTTTCACAGTACCATCTCTTCCAAATCGAACAAAATGCTTGGGCAAAATAGTTGATTCTCTTCTTCTAATTTCCTTTCATCCAAGGAAAAGAAAACACATTTAATTAAGCAGATAATAAATATAAAGAAGTATTTACATTTAAATGCTCTCTCTCAGCAAATTAAGATTCTACTAACAGCTAATCCAAAAGAAGTGCCCAAAGGCATCATTTTCAACTTCTAAATAACCCACATGAGTAGCCCTCTGAAACAATAGTAACCTTTTTATCCCACGTATTTCTAACATACTAGGGGAAAAAATGCTAACAATTAAGGAGTGCAGCCAGTAGTTGTGTGTGCAATCAGGTAAGTCACTGGGAAGTGAAAACACTAAATTTCTTCTATAAGACTTCAACTTAATGTTTCATATCTTATTAATACTATAAGAGCCAAATTTGAGTACCAGCCATAAAATGCACAGGCACACACAAACCACATCAACATTCTGACCTCTCAATCCACAAAGGAGAGTCACCATTACCTAAGATAAGGCACCCGATAAAGACACCAAGGACCAGCAGTTCAGAATGGCTACTCCAGGCAGAATCCAGTTTCCTGGATTTGATGGGTATTCATAGAGATCACACACACACAAAAACAAAATAGAAAGGGTTCTGTGACTAAATCCTCCGACATGGTATGTGAGTTGTGACCCTAAGAGGAGAAGGAAAGGACATAGCATTGTTCCCCAAACTTATTTGACCAAGGAGCCATTTTTTTCCTTGTAGCATCTCAGAGAACTAGTATCACAAAGAACGCCACCTTAAGCAACACTGCTCAGACATTCCAAAATTAAGTTACTGACATCCTATACTGTTATTTTGTTCTGAACTGGTCATCACAAGCACTATGAGAAACACCACCAGTGAAATTCTGGAAGTCAATAAAAATCTTTAAAAAAAATTTTTAAACTAACCATAAAGAGATGACTGAGGCATATTCTTCCTCGGTATCCATAGGGGATTTGTTCCAGATCCCCCAAATCCGCGGATGTTCAAGTCCCTCACATCAAATGGCATTTATGTATAACGTTAAGTTATTTCTACATAAATCATTTCTAGATTACTTACAATACCTGATAAAATGTAAATGTAAATAGTTGTTATACTATCTGTACTGGCTTTTTTATTTGTATTACTTTTTATTTACTTATTAATATTTTCGGTCTGTGGTTGGTTGAATCCGAAGATACAGAACCCGCAGGTATGGAGGGCAAACGTACTGGCCCTTTTGGTGTCACAAGGCCTGGCTCTAAACAACTGCTCTAACCAGCCAGCCCCTGTACTGGCTCTTTCGCCCGACCCATTTCATAACCATTTTACAGTTACCATTTCGCTACTCAAAAAGATTAGAAACAAAAAGAACTCTATTTTATTTCTCTTAAGAAACTTCTTATTACCCGTAAGTGACATAAACATATTGCACAATCTTAACATATAATTATCAAACTTGATAATGTTCTGTAAATTACCAGCTAGTACAAATTTTTGGTGTCTGCCCCTTAACTAAAGCTGAGGGGAGAGGGAGGAGGATGTTGGAAGACTCTATTTCACTTCACCTTTGCAAAATTTCATCACCTCTCAAAGAGTGTTCACAAAGTCAGTAGGTCCAGGTATAAACTCCCACGTTTAGGTTTAATTTTCACTGCCTAACAAAACCTATGGAGGAGGCAATTACTGTCCTCGCCATCAAACCTTTCAGACTGCCTAGAGTTCCTTCCAGAAAATTC